GCCGCTCCAATAGCCCAGAGGGGGAAGAGACTGGGCAGCGCCAGCTCCTTCTGAGGATCGGGGCTCGAGGATCGATGATCGGGGAGGTTGTGGGCGTTTTTGGGGTTTCGTCGTCCTCGAAAGGATGGCGATCCCTGGGGTAGTGACCCCTTGGCGTTGACTGGAGGAGGAGGAGGAGGAGGAGGAAATGGAGGAGGAGGAGGAGGAGCAGAGGGAGGAGGAGGAGTTGGAGTTGGAGGAGGAGGAAGAGGAGTTGGAGGAAGAGGAGGAAGAGGAGGAGGAGGAGGAGGAGGGAGGAGGAGGAAGAAGGAACCTCCTCCTCCTCCTCCTCCTCCTCGTCTTCTTCCCCCTCCTCTGTCAAAAATGATGTGCCGCTACCGTTTGGCCTCAGCGCTGGCGCGAACCGCATGATTTCGAGAAGTACAGAGCCTATCCGATTACGTACATCAAATTCAGCTTCTCACTGCCATCACCCCTTGCAATTCTAATTGGCAACGGAGCTGGGAGCGGTCCCAGCTCGCGATCCACGGAAGCCGCGTAGAGTGCGGAGGGCACGCACATTCACACTACCCCCCACACCCCGCATTGGTACCACCCTCCATTCCTTGAACAGCCTCTAGTTATGGCTGTTCTGCAACCCTGCGGGCAATTCGCCCCTGGCGCTCACAGGCACGATGAGGCCAGCGCCAGACCGTGCCATCCCCCCTTTCACTTGGCCCCATAGGGAGATACACCTGAGGCCCCAATGGCTACGCCCGCATGCCGCCACCCTTTCATTTGTTGTCCCACCGCTCATACGTTTTGTGGCCCCAGTTGGATCTACACCTAGGGCACCAGAGCTTGCGCCCGCATGCCGCCACCCCTTCATCTTGGCACACTCCTCACACGCTTCGTGACCCCATAAGGAGCTAATCCCAAGGTCACAGTGGCTGCGCCCGCATGCCGCCACCCTTTCATTTTGGCACACCGCTCCCATGTTTAGCGCCCCCATATGGAGCTATACCTAAGGCCCCAGTGGTTGCGCCCGCTTGCCGCCACCCTTTCATGTTGGTACACACGTCACACGTTTCGTGGCCCCATACGGAGCTACACCTAATGCCCCACTGGCTGCGCCCGCATGCCCCCACCCTTTCATGTCGGAACACCTCGCGCACGTTTCGTGGCACCTGTGCCACTGGGTGCCCTCGGGCGTCCCAGAAAACAGGCGGGTTGCAGCCCGATCGTCGTCCCTGTTTGCCCGTAGTGGGCCAGGGGGAGAGAGAAAATTGCGCCTCGTCGCCATGTTTTCCCACTCTTTGCGGTGGCCCGGCGCGTACACCGCGTGCGCCTGGGCGGGTGGGAGTCCCCTGCGGGGGGCTCATGGTGGATCCACACTCATTCTTCCCACGGTCCGGGTCCCCCGCCCTGGCGTGCGTGGAGGTGTGCGGTCGCCCGAGGGAGTGGCGCCCTTCAGGTGGCTTATCGGGGCGGCACGCCGAGTGGCGTGTCGTTATGTGAGGGCAGTGCGCCCGCCGCTTCGGAGTTGTCAGAACGCGCGGCGCGCCAAGGGGCGTGCTGCGCGCGGCGCGCCAAAGTGCGTGTCGCCTGATCCGCTCATGGTGGTTTGGCCAGGAAGGAGTGAACATCTTAGTTAATGACGGGGGGATTCATTTGGCGGTATCACGTTTTCTCGCGTTCCACAAGCTTCTTGGCGGGCTCCACGGGTGGGCCTCCGGTCCCTCGTAGCCGCGCTGCTCATCGTGTTCAGGGGGTGCTTTTAAAAATCATTCTTGTGGTGGCGGAAATCTAGGGAATCTTCTCACACGCTTCGTGGCCCATAGAAGAGCTTCACCTGGCCCCAGTGGCTGCGCCCGCATGCCGCCACCCTCTCATACTCCTCACGCGCTTCGTGGCCCCATGGGGAGCTCCACCGAAGGCCCCAGTGGCTGCGGCCTCATGCCACCACCCCCTCATTTTGGCATACCCCTCACACGCTGCGTGGCTCCATAGGGATCTCCACCTAAGGCCCCAGTGGCTGCGCCTGCATGCCGTCCCCCCCCCATGTTGGCATATCCCTCGCGCGCTTCGTGGCCCCATTCGGGGACTTACGCCCGCATGCCGCCACCCGCGCCCCCATGCGGGCTGCCACAGCGGCAGCGCCTACCCCATTCCAGCGCTCTCTTCACGGATTTCGCGGCTCTGCCGGGAGCTCCACCGATGGCGGTTCTCACACCCGCTGTGCCCACAACTGCATATTTGAGTTTTTCGCCAGGACAACTGTTCAACGCCTTGATCAGAGTGAGGGGGCCGAGCGGTCATTCACTTTCCCTGGGTGCGTGGATGAAACGGGGTTCTGCGGTGCGGATTGTTCTCACACCCGCTGTGCCCACAACTGCATATGGTTGAGTTTTTCGCCAGGATAACTGTTAAACGCCTTGATCAGAGTCAGGGGGCCGAGCGGCCATTCACTTCCCCTGGGTTCGTGGTTCTGCGGTGCGGTGGTTGATCCCCCCCCCGGTGCCGATTGCGTTTTTCAAGCGAAGTGCATCCCCCAGGGTTCGCACCCTGGTTTTTATCCGGGCAAGTCACTCGGGTAAAGCTGCGTGGTTGGCCCCCGGAGTATAACAACAACAACAACAACAACAACAACAACAACAACAACAACAACAACAACAACAATCATTTTAAAACTGTTCGCCCTTGTCTGCTCGAGTGTCCAATAACGCGTATTTCCCAAACCCTCGATACCCGCCTTCTTCGTCTTCGATCGATCCCCTTTTGGGGGGTATACTTTTCTTCCCTGCAGCCCAGGCCCTGGCAAGCGGCGGGGGGGCCGCGGACCGTCGGCCTGGCCAGCGGCAGCGCTGATCGGCGGGGCGGCCGCGGACCGTCGACCCGACCCCAGGAGGGACGGACAGGGGACCGACCACGACGACGACGACGACGACGACGACGAGCGAAAGCGAGAGCGAGAGAGAACGACAGCAGAGCCACGAAGGACACGAAGTAGGCCACGAAGGGCGACAGCTGGGACACGAAGGGAATGCGTACGGGGCCACGAAGAGCCCGAACGAGCGGGGGCCACGAAGGGCCGATAATGCGGGGCCACAGAAGGCAACGATGGGGCCACTGAGGGTAGCAACTGGGCCACGTAGGACTGTGAGGGGGCCACAAAAGGCGACAGCGGGGCCACGAAGGGCGCGCACATGGGGCCACAACGGGCGCGAACGAGCGGGGGCCACGAAGGGCATACGCATGTTGGGGCGCGGAGGGCAAGGACGGGGCCACTGAGGGCAGCAACGGGGCCACGAAGGGCAGCGAGGGGTCCAGGAAGGGCGACGGCGGGGCCACGAAGACCATGCATATGGGGCCACCACGGGCGCGAACGAGCGGGGGCCACGAAGGGCATGCATATATGGGGCCACGAAGGGCAGCGAGGGGCCACGAAGGGTTGCAACGGGGCCACGAAACAAAGCGAGGAGGCCACGAAGGGCTGCAACGGGGCCACGAAGGGCCGCAACGGGGCCACAAAGGGCAGCGAGGGGGCCACGAAGGGCTGCAACGGGGCCACGAAGGGCAGCGAGGGGGCCACGAAGGGCTGCAACGGGGCCACGAAGGGCAGCGAGGAGGCCACGAAGGGCTGCTACGGGGCCACGAAGGGCAGCGAGGGGGCCACGAAGGGCTGCAACGGGGCCACGAAGGGCAGCGAGATCCCGATTCTTAGTTTTTCTGTGAGGGAGTCCTGAGCGTGAACGCGACTCCTGGGTGCCCGGGTGTCGCGAGCGCGGCGCTTGAGTAAATTGCGGGGAATTCCAACGCAAGGGCGCTATTCGTCAGTAAAGTGCAAGCGAGTCTCCAGCGAGAGCGCGACTCCAGAACGCCAGGAGAGCGCTGGGGGGACCAACAATAATTATTGTTCAAAAATGAAAGTTTAACAACGGCTCCCACCTGAGACTTCCTCGCACTTTAGCCAAGACCCCCGCTCCCGCCTGAGATTTCCTCGCATTTGATTCAGGAATCGCGCTCACGTTTGGGACTTCGTCGCAATGTATTCAGGAATCGCCCCTTCGGCTCTCTGGAGTCGCGCTTCGCTGGAGACTTGCTTGCAATTGACAAGAATCGCGTTCTTACGTCGAAATTCCCCGCAATCTACTCAAGCGTCGCGCTCCCGACACTAAGGCACCGAGGAGTCGCGCTCACGCTTAGGACTCCCTCAAAACTCATTTAGAAATCGGGATCTCGCTGCCCTTCGTTGCCCCGTTGCAGGCCTTCGTGGCCCCCTCGCTGCCCTTCGTGGCCCCGTAGCAGCCCTTCGTGGCCCCCTCGCTGCCCTTTGTGGCCCCGTTGCAGCCCTTCGTGGCCCCTTCGCTGCTCTTCGTGGCCCCGTTGCAGCCCTTCGTGGCCCCCTCGCTGCCCTTCGTGGCCCCGTTGCAGCCCTTCGTGGCCCCCTCGCTGCCCTTCGTGGCCCCGTTGCAGCCCTTCGTGGCCCCCTCGCTGCCCTTCGTGGCCCCGTTCCTTCGTGGCCCCGTTGCAGCCCTTCGTGGCACCGTTGCAGATCGCGCTATCGCTCGAGACTTCCTCGCGATTTATGCGGAACGCACGTTTCAGCAACCCGCTTGGTCGACCTGGCCGCCTGGGCCCGCTTTCCCGACCCGCCCGTTAGGGCTTATCCGCCCGATCTGCTCGTCTTGTTCTGCCACTTGTTTTCTGCTCCTAGCCCCCTTTCTGCTACTCTCTCTCTCTCGTGCTCCATCCTCCTCCTTTCCCTTAGCGCCTTCCTTCCATCCGTCCTCTCTTCCCCTGCTTCAGGGGCTGCACGAAAGGCACGTTGCAGATGAGGGAAATATACCCCCAAGGGGGTGCGAGCGAAGACGAAGAGGGCGGGTATCGAGGGTTTGGGGTATACGTGTTGAATAACACGCAAGCAGGTGCGAGTGATCAGTCTCAAACTAAGCGTTGTTGTTGTCATTGTTGTCGTTGTCATTGTCGTTGATGTTGTTGTTGTTAGTGTTATTCTTGTT